AGGTTTCGGTTACCCACAGATAAATTTTTAAACTAGACGCTAGGTTGCTGATCACCATCTTAGACGTGAAGTAAGTGCTCGATCTTGAACAATTAGTCCCTTTGATAAATTTTGATGATGCAATGAAGCGTCTACGGTTAACGTTTTTGCGATACATTTTAAGCTATTTCGTCACACAGATGCTTGTCAAAGCACAACATGCATGAATTCATGGGCCAACTAGACATGTCAACGGTTAAACGAAAATAAAGATAGTAATGTAGTACACAATAGTAAAGCCACTCTGGATAGTCAGTATTATCAGGGGAGGTTAGGGGTATGCATTGATTGTTTTCGGATATATAATGAAGGGTTCACTTCCCTCATAGCCAGTGCTTCAATTAACTTTATTAAGCGCCCTTGCATAGCAACAAAGTTTAACTTCAGATCAGCCTTGTTATCAGTCTCAGCTGAATGCTTTACAATGAAGAAAGATATTTGTACATCTTGTGATCTTATTCGACCGCTCGAACTTATTTGTTTGTCGTAATGATTTAGATATGTGTTCAGTCGCCCTTACTTGCAAATCGCGGTTGCCCCTCCTTATGTAAAATTATCCAACCCCTTAAATAACTTTTTGGGCAGACAGTGTAATTTCTGTCGATAGTAATTTACCTATAACTTTGCACTACTATTCCCATGTTTGTATGATCATGTATGACTAACACACGTTGAAGCCTGATCATTTACTTCAGTGCTCTTCAGGTTTGGGTCGGTATTGGCCCAACTATCTATAACGTTAAAGCAACAGATTTTATCCAATATCCGGGATTTCCTGCAACATGACTACGTGATCTGTAAACCTTCATTTCGAAGTCACATCACTTTCTATACTGACTCATTCAGTAGTGATAGCGACGCGTATGGTTTTTATGAACCATTAAAAAAACATTCGAGATCATAATATATCTAACATATTGTGAATAAACTCATGGAGTAACAGCACCTGGAATACCGTACCATGCCGTCCCGATCATTTGTTTCCTCGTTGACGTTCACTGGTCTAATCCAAAAGTTGGAAGACTCATGCAAATCTTCTCAGCTTTTGTATACTCGGCTTCAGAGATCTTGTGGTTAGAAACTAACACAATTACACCTCAGTTGCTAGCTATAATGTTAGTTATAGTAAATATCTCGATGATTTTGATGTAACTTTCGAAGATGCATCATTTCTTGTGTTCCATATCCGGTAAAGTTATGACTTGCTAGTGTAAATCAAAAATGTTGTCGCCCATTCTCGGTTTAACGGGATGCCCAAAGAAATTTCTAGTGTTCAAAAGAGATAGTCCACTCACTAGTCCCTTTTAATTCAGCAGTTATTTGTAAGTTGTTTAACCATGAATCTAAGTGAATCTGTTTTCAAGAGCAGCAGATTTATTAGAACCCACAGTAAAACACTTGTCCTCTGAATAGGGGATTTTAGAACTAATTTTTTCTCATCCAAGTTTGTCATTTTGTTAATTCGTAAGATTTCACTTACATATCAGTGACGCTGGAGACAAGATATCATTCTATCTACAGTCTTAATGTAAAAGTCCGAGTTAGCATGTTATAAGTTGTCTTAGCAGAATAGCTAATCCAGCATAAATTTGGAAACAGGAGTCTGAATGATGAGCGTAACAGAAAAACCTCAATATCACAGATTGATTGACTTTTTCTCAAACATAAAAAACCTGATACAAACAAGATGTTCGACTGGCTAGTCACTAGAGAGAATCAAAAGGGAATGTAAGAGTACCGCTTGATATACCACATTCTGAGCGCAATTTAATCACGACGACATCTCAATCCTGATTCTCTAAAGAAAAATTTATCGTGTTGTCATAGCCTTCAATTTCATCACGAAAACTTAACTAAAATATCTTACTGACGACAGGCGTTCAAAAAATCTACAGTAGCTCACCCTGAACTTGATGTAGACGTTCATTGGGATTTCCTACTGCACACAACATTATGTGCTACAAAGCAGTCTGTCTCCAAACGGTCACTAAATATTACAAGTAACCAACAGCCATAAAGTGTCTTTTTCTTTGATTGCAAAGACACGAAAGGCATTGCTGGGAGTTTCTCACAACAACCTGAAAAAACTATGGGGTCCCTCATAAGTGATCTACGTGACTGTTTACTACACATAAACTTCTTTCCGTCCCAACAGTACGGTTTCAGGAACGGTCACCTTTGTAGAACCAACCTACTGACCGTGGTAGACAGATGAACAACCATCCTTGATCATAAGGAGAAGGTTGGTGTCAAATACCTCCACTTCTCAAAAGCTTTTGATAAGGTCAATCATATATGTCTTATTAATAAGATTGAACGACTAGGTTAAAGTCATCGTTAATTGACTTACTTAATTCATATATAAATAATGGACTTTTAAAATTCAGGGTAAGCTTCGCTTTCTCTCAAGTTACAGAATATCCTAATAAGGTCCATCAAAGTCCAATATCAGGTCCTCTTCTTTTATCAATTTATATAAACGACCTTCCTCAGTAGGTATTTTCTGATTTATTACCTTTTTCTGATTACGTAAAACTCCGAAGAGAAATTTCTAACCAACATAATAAACCGGCACTTCAAAAAGATCTGACTTGGCTTCAAAGTCGGGAGGATAACGGACTTACTTTCAACCATCCAAGTTGTAAAATGGTCAATCTGCGACATGTTGCAGATTACGCACACAGCTTGGATAACTGATTTTTAAAGGTATCCCAAGTTGATGAAAATCTAGGAGTCTTTGTACCCTATGATCTGCGTCTGTTATAACGTTCGGTTTCCTCCTACACAGATGAGACGCTTATTTGCCTTAAACTCATATCTATACTAGATATCCTCCCAGTGTCCGTTTTACAGGACTTCAATGAAACTCAGGTCAATAAAACGTGACGAGCCTGACTACAACGTAGATATATTTCCACACACAAAACCGACGACACTCCAATAATATTTGTAGGAGAATACATAACGCATCTAATACCCTTCAGACTGTTTACCACTCTGACTAAGCAAACAACCAATCACTCTCACTTTCACCCACACATCAGAATTCTTAGTCGCACTGAGACAAAAATGCCTTTCGACTAAATCTTGCACTGTTAATGTCGAAGCACATTTTTGGCCAGTTCGATGGTGGAACGTTTCACTAAATGTTAAATAGTTCTATTCCACCTCATTTAGGGTATAAAAATAAAGTGTTTCCTTCCTTACTCCAAAAGGTTTAGAATACATTGGAGCGTATCCAACGGCGAGTCACGAAATCAGTTAGATAACTAAATTTCAAATCTTAAGAAGAATGCCCTAAGAAACTGAGTTTTTGTAAAACTGAGTGTGAGTGTCTGAGAGGTGACCTTTTTATGACTTAAAGCATCCCAAACACTCCATCTTATACATCTACTTAAGCTCAGTCGCCGTATAAAACCTAGGGTAACGCCCAGAAATTAAAGACACAACATAGCAGGATGGACTGTAGGCACACCTTTTACTCTGTTACTGGATACAGAAGTCAACTGAACGAAAATGTCTTATATTTTGTCAAGAAATGTTTGAAACTATTTGGAGCCCCTTATGAAGAGCGCATCCAATCACTTAACCTTTACGCATTAGAGCATAGGCCTCTTAGAGATGACCGTCTAATGGCTGAGGTATCTTCAACACTTCTGGATATCCCCTTGACCACATATTTAAGCTTAGTCCCAATACAAACCTAAGTGGTAACATCCAGCAAATTGGAGACACAATATAGCAAAGCGGACTGTAGACACAACTTATACTCCTTAAGATTTGTCAAATGCTGGAATTCGCTGCCGACTGAGCTGTTCTAAGCAATTTTCCAGGAGTCCTATAAGAGGCAATTCGATCTATTCTTAAGGTCTAATGATGGTATCATACTATGATTTACCAATTTCTTTTTCCTCTTTTTTCGTTAACATAACTAGGTTCCTGCCTGGAGTTATTCGTGATCCTTTGCTACTAGACACGGAAGCCTGTTAAGCAAAAGCTTCTTCTATTCCGTCCACAACCATTTGAGCTGCAACCCAGGTATTTTTGATCTGTCTTTTAATATGCACCGTATTACAAGTCCAAATATAACAAATTTGAATGTCTCAATGAGACTGAAATAAAATGTTTGGTCATAAATACGACCAACTATGAGCATTCATCATAAAAATGTACTAGGTGTTCAAGACTTCTGAAAACTACGAGGGTGTTGAACATTAGGCACTTGTCCCGCTAACCAAGTGTAAATTGTAGATGCGCGCTATTTAGTTAACCGTGTCAAGTCAGACGGCTGCGTCGTATTTAGTTGTTGTCGATCTCTTTGGTTAAAAAGTGTAAGTACAGCAATTTTCCTATTGTCTGCCCACCTCCTCTCGTGTTATGTTTTTCAGTTTTCGCATTGCTCCGCACGCTCCACTAGTACATTAAAACCCAAACTCCCGATTTTGGGTCCGAGCTTCCAATTTCGGGGAAAATCCCGAAGTCAAATGACCTTCACCAATGTTTGGGGAATTCTGGGGAAGTTTTAGGATAATCCCCAAAGTCCCCAGGTCTGGGGAAATTTTGGGGGTTTTGTGCTATTTCCCCAAAATGCGCCAAATTTTCCTCAAAATTGGGAGCTCGGGGGTGGGGGATCTCAAAGCCCTATGACAATATTGTCATAGAGTTGTAATTATGACGAAACACGCGTCCTGGGTTCCACTGTCAGCCATCATTCATCTTTGCTCATGAAGCTCGTGACCTAAGGCAATATCGAGACAATCCTCACAGGATGCCCGAGCTCCCAAGTTTTGGGAAATCTTAGGGAAACTCCCGAAGTCAAATGACCTTCATCAATGTTTGGGAAATATTGGGGGAATTTCCCCAGGTCTGGGGAAATTTTGGGGTTTTTGTGCCATTTCTCCAAAATGGGTCGAACTTCCCCCAAAATCCGGAGCTCGAGTATACATGCTAACAAGAGACTGATCAATTGCAGTCTTAAAAAATAATGAGGAGATGCAAGCAAATAACACTAAGTGGATTAGAACTATAATAGTGCACATTTAATTAACCAAATGTGAACCTCTACAGTTCTTTATCACCCGTTATTTGTTTGTTATAATTAGCAAAACTGTCTGGAAATCCTTACTTATAATTAAGAATAATTTGTGATTTGTCCAGAGGTTGTTGTGTATCGAAATTAACATGATGTGATTTTCAGTGTTTTCCTGAATACGAAACCACAATAAATTTGAACTCACTAGAGCCCTCACAAATTTTACACCGGTTTGACAAGACAGTCAGATGTCAGACCCATAGAACACTATGGAAATAACAGCTGTCTGTCAAATACTTCAGTTTCGAATGAAATGTAGGACAAGATTAGCAGTTACATTTTCAAACGACTTTAGGGTTTTTTCATTCTCCCACCTATTCCTAAGATATGCTTTATGAGACCAGATTATGTGGATTTGGGATATTTTGAAATTCATTCAAAACTTGAGTTTGATAGGAGCCAATTGATTCGATCTGCTCTCGGCCTCCTCATGCTAATATGTTCAGAAAGACTGGTCAATTCAATCCCGTTCTATTATATATCTGGTATGAGTATTATATTATTCTCCAGTTTTATGTTATTTCTTTTTGTCCTGATAAAAATGATACCAAGGAGCTGTCTTTCAAAGTGTTATCTTTGGCTTTGGTAGTACTCTGTTTTTAACCTTTCTCTCCATTGATTACTTACACTGCTGTCGTACAATTTGTGGTTTCAAAATGAGAATTCGTATTTGTATACGTTCTTATTGTCTCATTATACTCATTTGTAATCTTATACCGGTTGCAAATACCGGACAGACTAGTAAAGAATAATCCTCGAACAAAGGTTATTATCACATTTTTTCGCTAAGCTGGGAGCATTTTCTGTGCAGTGTGTGTCTACCCTTAATTTGACAAACGTTGGTTCGACACTTTTTAGAGACCCACCCACTTTCGGTACTTTTAACATATTAAACAAATAACCAAAAACATTCCTCCAGTCTTTTTGGTTCTGTTGAAAATAGCACAGTAATTTTAAGTCTCCATCTCGGGAACCGCAATACGCCTCCAGATGCATTTTGAATACCATGTCAATGGACCCCCAAGGGTCCCTTGAAATTTCATGCCGGGTTCCCCGTAGGTTGCATCTACTTCGTATCATCATGCTTTCGATTTTCCAGGCCGAAGAGATCGTCATTATGGTATCTATTCTCAACCTGGAGACCATAATGTTGTGAAGAACAGCCATTCAGAATATATGGGATATAATTCATGAACTCCGAAATTCTGTCCCATAAACTAAAGAGAATCTCACGTCTTAACGAGACAGTCAGCATTTGCATAAAAAGAAAATGCTAACTGATGGTGAAGATTAATATCTTCCCTCATGAAGTCAAAAAGATTGTGTTTAACTAACCTGAGAGTTCTATACCGGGTAACGAAGTCAGTTTCATTTCTCCTCATTCCTAAGTGGATAGTGGGGAGTATCCCTAGAAGTTACCGGTCAGTAGTTCAAGCCCGATAAGTTTACCATCGCTATACACACCTGATAGTTCACATTAATGGACTAGTGTGCATTTGTATTATTGAATCGTACAGTGAATGACAAAATAAGCTATTTTCCATATTCCTTTTCTCTATTTCCTGGTTGGCCTGAAAAATGAGGTGGAATTTAAGTATTTGTTGTTAAAAAGAGATTATGCAAGCGTGCTCACAATCTTCCAATAAAGCTTTTACCGTGCTACAACCAGGTTTCATACCAATAACTCAGACAGGTTCTTTTATTGTAAAAAATTTTATAAACTTGGTTATCGTTGGTCACACAATCAAGTAAAAGCCATTTTCGAATCAATGTTACAAAAATCGGTTCGATAATTACTGAGGTGTGAATGTACTGCTTCTACTTCCCTTATCTGCAGATTGTCGAGTTATACAGGACGACTAATTTTTGGTAGGTGTAAACTACCTGGGTGGGGATCGCGAGACGATAGCAACCGATGGTTACAGACCCTGAATGACATGGCTCAAAATCGTTCGCAATGGCGGAGGTGCATCCACTCTTTGTATTCTCCCAAATTTTAATCATCTACATTCTTTATGTCCCTTTTCTCTTTCCAAATTTACTTCACTGTATTATACTCCTCGAATAACATCTTCAAACCCCAATCTTTCCGATTACTGCTTATACTTTTACTACCTCTACCACTATGGGATTTGAATCGACAACTGCATTTCTGTCCTAATGTGGTATGGCAACTCGAACTGATGTACGTACGTACGAAGTTCTACGTTGTTACTGACTGACTGATTAATTTTTGCTGTGCATGTGAGAAGACTGCAATATATAGGAGGCATCACAATTGACACAACCTGGGCGTTGAGATGTACGGAGTGAACCAGCGATAGCAGTACATGCTATATCCAAGTCAATATAAAAAGCAAAAAGTTCAAGATTCTTCAAACCATAGAAGGTCGAAGGAGTGGAGCTTTCCATATAATACTACTAAGCTCAACCAATAGGAAGGTTTGACTTGATATTCAACTTGAACCATTTTTTCCTACCGCACAACCTGTTTGGATCTTATCCCATTAGCACACACAAATCTGCTGTACTCCATCACACAATATCACATTTTCCACACGCAATCAGGTATATACAAATATATCTCATAATATCGCCAACCTGAATAATGGTGTAGTCGAACTTGTTCTCAGTACTCTCAGTTTCGTTTTTTTTCTCTTCGCATCATCTGAAACTAATTTGATTTTGCTACCTATTCTTCAAAGAAGCAGATTATACTGTCTCGAAAAGTCTGAAATTAAATCTCAGATTCATCGGAATATTACAGCTTTATTAATATTTAGTTATAAACAATCCACCGAGTACTCATTTCATTCGAAATTATAAATGCTTGTGTAATAATTTGTATTCATAACAGTACTTCTTTACTTTGGCTGATTCAAATTTCTTCCAGTTCTTTATGCTTTCAGAAATAATTAATCACTTGTCTCTGTTTTCTACTCATTCAGTTTAATATCAGAAATGAGTATCAGTCTTGCTGAAAGTGATCCTGAAATTATGGCATTATGTAGGGAGGAAAAAGAACGTCAGAAACTTGGGTTGGAGTTAATAGCTTCAGAGAATTTCACAAGCAAAGCTGTCCTGCAAGCCTTATCGTCTTCGTTTCACAACAAATATTCTGAAGGCCAAGTTGGTGCTAGGTAATTATGACGCTTTACATAATTGTATAATAAGATATTATAATCTAATCATTATTATCAAGAATATTTCGGATATACTTTACCTTACGCTGTTATTTTTTTGTTAACATTAATTGCTTATCTGTACCTTCAAAGGTCAGTTACATACACGTTGTACTTTCAGATAATAATAGTAATAATCTCAACGGTCAACTAAACACTTACGTAAAGTTTAGAATATTTCGGCATATTTTGCACCTATCAAATGGTAAGCTATACGTTACTGATGAGGAACATAAAACCTGGTACATCAACACTACCATAAAACTTCCCGATCATCGGAGTCCACTATTGCAACAAATGAGATTATTTTTGGTAAGTATACATCTCTTCTAGAAACCGGCAAACGGTAAATGTTCAGTTGACTCATCCACGCCTGAAATCAGCATTATTTTCCCCAATTTTCCCTGTAGTAGTTTTAGTTAAGCGTCTTTTAAACCAAGGTCAATAATTTACATGTCGTACTAGTCAAATTGCCTCTGGGATTATGGGAAGAGAAATTTGGTCCTTTCATATAAACGAATTAGTAGTCATATTATGGGAATGGTTGTCGACATGGTCTGCCAGTATGAAGTATGGTAGTTTTTCACGTTATTCACCTAAGTAGTGGGTATCAACCATGCAGATTGTAACCGTTAAATCTCTGCAAGCATATGAAGAGCTAAATTAGTATTTTCTAAAATACTAGCTTTTATTTGATCGAAAGATCTATCTATTTACTGAGTAGCAAAGACCACTCAACACATTTATATGATATTCCACGCTTATGAGACATGGCTCTCTGAAGCGCTCTTTACATTCAGTGAAACTACAGCTTATATGATGTTATTGCTCAATTCTCAGTGTCTTAATTGATAGTCCAACTCATTTATCAGGTATGTGTCAATGTTTTAGTGTAAATCACAATTTCGTTTCACAACTAATGAAATCAACCAGGTATCCAAGCTGAAGTTGGTGGAGCTGGGTTTGGCGATGTAACTTAACAGATTATCCACCAAACTCTCACTTTACTGTTTATTGTTCCCCTAGTGTGTTGTGAACTTGTTACGTCATAGGTAAAATAAGTGTTTCCAGTAAGTGTAAACCACTAAATAAGTCAATTCAATTGTAGTTTTAAGTTCTTGCTGACTTAGATGATTGGAGTTTATTACTTGTATCAAGAGGTATTTTACACTGACACAATTAATGTGCATTAAATCTACATCAGACTTGGCTAAATAAATCCAATTTGTTGTATGTGGAAATAATAACTGCATTTAGGGTTATTACTAGTGCATATGTGATTTTTTTTGTACTTTGCTTGATCAAGTTAACATGTTACAAATCTTTGACTTTGTTCCCTTATGATATTTAAGATATTACGGTGGTACCGAAATCGTAGACAAAATGGAAGCTTTGTGCAAGAAGCGTGCTCTCGCCTTATTTGGTCTTGATGAGACTGAATGGGGTGTTAATGTTCAACCCTATAGTGGATCACCGGCTAATTTCGCCATATATACGGGGTTGGTCGGTCTTCATGGTCGTATTATGGGATTGGACTTGCCAGATGGTGGACATCTTACTCATGGATACCAAGCTGCATCTGGTCGAAAGGTTGGTGTATTTCGTTGTCTCTAGCGTTATTTCTACTGGTTCTTTTCCCATTGGTGCATACTAGCATTACTCTTAATAAGGGAGTCACAGAAGTCTTTACGACAATCTTACTTATCATACAATTTAATCCAGTGAAACGGGTAATGTGGAGTATCTAGAAGTACTGATATCTAATGCTTTTAAATTTATTTGCAGTGTTTTTGGTTCATAATACAGTGAGATTATAGAGATCTAGTTCAAAGGATGCAATAAATTTTCATAAAATTTGTACCTAACAAAAATGTACTTCTAAACACAAGATAAAATTGCGAAGATATACATTTCGCAGAATAATTGAACTGTGCGATAGTTTCATGTATATGTAGTATGTTATTCAAATCCCTATGATTAAACATTCCTGGCCATTTAAATGTCTTGTATTTTTCAAGGCTCAAGTCGATCAAATAACTATTGGAACTCAAAAGAAACTATAATTCCTTTTTGTTTCATTCTGTAACTTCTCGTTGACATTAACTGACTAATAATTTTAAAATCAAACTCAGAGTATTACAAATCAGTCTTTAATAACTAAATATCCCGCTTCAACGATTGATAATACGACTTCAAGATTTTCTCAACGAATTTTACTGTTATCATGGTAGCAAACCTTCAGACAACATTATGATATCTACATATACGTCATACCGAATTTGTTTAGCAGTAAATGAAGTTCATCGTTTTGTCATATGATATACTCAAGATTGTTTGAAGATCATTGATGCTGAGTATCACTTAAACATCTACTGGGGTAAATCTACTGATAAGGTAAAAACTGTCTGATGTTTTGTAGCAGTTTTTTAAACTACTACCAGCTGACTTTAGAAAGTGAGATACATTTCCATGAGTGAGTAATACTTGATATCTAAACCGTATTCTCGTGTCTCCTTCATGTTCGTCCACTCTTATCTAGATTTTTTCCGACTCAAGTTTCAGTGTTCTCATTTAGCTCAGCTTTGTCACGTTTATTTTCCTACCTTGTATGATATATTAATGACATAATTCCTAATTCTTAAATTTCCTTGAAAGTCAATAAATATATAGTTTGTCACGTTTAAATACGCAGTGACCTCTTAAAACAAAATGAAGTAGGAAATTGAGAAATAGGTTGCATTCAGGCTGTCGTCTTGAGTGGCAAAATACACAGTAAGCCACTAACAGAACAGTAAAACTGTATCATTTTTGCTAAGAAACCACTTACTAATCAAGACTAAGCTCTTGCACTTAGAATGTGTTTAGTAATAACAATCTAATAAGAGCGAATGTTAATCACATCTACTGTAGTCTTAAATTATTTGAAAGGGAAGGTGTTAGGGGAAAAACAAAGTCCTATCTCTTCATAGAGTTATGGGCTATTGGGCTGAACCATGTAGCTAGGTGGAGGCTACCTAATTCAGGTCCATGCGTTTACTCCGACCAATAGTTGATGTTGTGACAACATGAAATCGGTTACAACGGCACAAATGCATTAATTTCTTTTTCTAAATCCTGATTTTCAGAGTTATTTTGTACCTATTATTCTGTGCATTAAATCACTCCTTTCAAATTATACTTTTGGTGTTTAATTTTTTGTTACCGCTGATACTTCTACTAATTTGTTATTCATCTTGATAACTTCAACTTAATGTGCTGATACGATATTCAAACTTAGACCGATATATATATATATATATATATATATATATATATATATGTTAGGTTCTACATTGCTTGCAACAATTTAAGCATGCTTGAGATGCGGTTGGCTCCCTCCAAACGTAAAGCGTTACTTCAGGGTTGACTTGCGTCAACGCCTGAATTAATGATAGGGAGTAAAGTAGTTAAACCCATCAGCTGCTTCACTTATATTGGGAGTCTCGTCAGTGCTGATAATCTGGTGTCTCATGAAATCTCTGCACGAATTCAGAAGGCTGGATTGACTTTTGCCAATTCGCGTCATTGTGGCGTATGCCAGATATCCGTATCCTAACCAAAGGACGAGTTTACTGCACAGCAGTTCTACTTTATGGATGTGAAACATGGCTATTAAGAATAGAGGATATTCGTAGGTCACTAGCATTCTGTCATAGGTGTATTCGAAGCATTGCTGGTGTATACAATGGAGTATACAATGCCTGAGTTAGGAATACGGAGCTAGGTAAAGATGGCAAGTTGATTGATGGCGTAGTCAATCTTCATTAACTGAGGTGTTTGGAACATGTGTTGTGTATGCCCAATCACCGTCTACCTCGACGGACAATGTTTTCTGGTGTAAGAATAGGCTGTAGGAAAGCTAGGGACGGCCTAACTAAAACATGGCATCAGTTCATGAAGTCACTGACAATTAAACTCAGCCATGCCAATAGGTGTAGACTACCTGGTTAGGGTCCATGTGATTGTCGTAACCAATGGTTAGAGACTTTGAATGACGTGGCTCAAAATCATTTGTAACGGTGTAAGTGCATCCGTTCTTTGTCCTTCCCTGAATTTTGAGATTCCGAATTCCTCATAACTATTTTCGTGTTTTTTTCACTAATCTACATTTTCTTCTCGAATTGTATGTTCGATGCGTAGTGTTTCTTATTACCATTGATACTGTTACTACCTCTACAATTCTGGTATTCTGTCTGACAATTTCATCTATGTTAGCTAATGGGGTATGGTAACCTGAATCGATGTACATACGTACCGGGTTCTACGTTGTGACCAACTGCGTCTTACTGACTGATTATGCCTCAGCAAAAATTTTCTTTTGTTTCGTAAAGGTCACATAGACAAAGATCCACTTCAAAGACTTCAGGTCAATGTAGGGATCAACAATCTAGATTATAAGTATTTAGGATTAATATAATTAAGTATTATCAAATTGAAACCTCTGACTTGATAAATCTGGTGTCATTTTAGTTAACATAAGCTTAACGATTTTTTAATTTGCATTATATTCTCAATGAAATAATAAAGCACCACATTTTTAAATCTGATCTCGGAGCTTGTTTTCTAAAGTTTTTCGTGATAATCTCATTTAGAATGAACATAAATGCTATACGATTAGATTACTCATTTTAGAAGAAATCACATCAAAATTTTTCAGTGTTTTCTCCATAAAACCTTTTCATTGTACCCAATTAACTCTGAACGTTTAGTGACCTTATAATACTAGTTAATAAAATCAGTAAACCTTCAATGTACAAAATTTTGACTGGAAATACTTACATGTCAACTGATAATAAGGGACTCTTTGGTGCACAAAGAAGGTACATTTTTTGAAACTTGCAATATCCTTTCAGTTTTCTAGTGTTTAGTATTTCGTTTCATGGTATAAACTCCTTAGTATCAACAGCACTGTCTCATGTATCTTATAATCAGCTGTTATATTCAGTTACTTTTACGAAACCATTTTATTTTTTGTAAATATTTGTTATTATCAGGTTTCTGCCACATCGTTGTTCTTCGAGTCTGTTCCTTACAAAGTTGACCCTAAGACTGGATGGATAGATTATGAACGATTGGAGATTGTAGCAAGATCTTTTCGTCCTAAATTGATTGTTGCAGGAACTTCAGCATATGCTCGTCACTTGGATTATCCGAGATTTCGACAAATTGCAGATTCAGTTTCAGCTGTGTTACTTGCTGATATGGTAAATAATAAGATTGATTTTCAAATGTCAGTTAAACTTTTATAAATATTTAAGTGTTTGTTAGGACAGAAGCATTTATTGTGTCGCACAGGTAACCGATAACAATTTTAAACTCCTTTTTTTGTTGATATAAATAATGACATCTTTATTGTGATATTACCTAAAGGTTGTTTGTCTTTCAGTGGTAATGATAATAATCACAAAATTTAACTATGTCTTCCCGTGTTTTCTATCGAAGTATCGTGGTATATTTTTGATACAGCGAGTTAAAGAATATTTCCGCATATTTATTGATTAAGTTCTATGCAATGAACTATATAACTTATATATTTCACATAGACATTGATTATTAGTGAATTTATTTTAATGTGGTTTGACCTAATTCTTCAAAATAATGCATCTAGATAGAACAATTATTTTACACTATTGTTCGCCTAGTAGTTTAGTAAGAACGAAATACAAGAAAAAAAAGAAATCTTGGAATTTGGATGACAAAAATAAGAACCATTGATTTTTATGTTGAGCGATAACTTGATAATTTAATCAAACTCAAACTATACTTCTCTTCAGTTTGTTTAGTCAGACAGTATCACTGGCTGTTGTAACTTGACAAAATACTGATATAGCTACTTGTTGCATCCTGCAGACACAACTGATCACTTGCTACTCGTTATAACGAAACAAGCACTGGTACAGCTCAGTGCAAGAAAGAAGGCGAGATTACAGATAAAGATTTTATTATGCATCAACACTAAATTCGTAACAGATTCAACCGTTGACCAAAACCATATCTGAATAACTGAGCCATTTATCATTGACATATCCACTTGGTAGTCGAATTTGATTACATTAAACTAGGAAGTTCCTTGGCATAAATTAATCTGTGACTAAATACATGTATATATTCTACAACACTAATAGATTTAGTTGAATTGACTGACAAATTTAATTAAATTGTTGATTCTCATAATTACTTCCAACACTAACTATTGCACAAGAAGTGTGGTTCAAAACCAAGTGCCTTATTAACGAGTTAAATTAAATTTAGTAAACCTTGGTTAAATACTATTGGCATTTGGTTTTAGGATTCTTAAAATAACATATTATTATTCCCTTGACGATAAATTTTCATGTGTTGGTTATTGTCCATGAGATATAGATTAAATGATATGACTGAGTTAAATACTTCCTCAAAATTTTCATATATTTGGAGCTCCAGACTCTCATCTTCATTTTCTTTACCGTTTCACCAATAGTTCCTTTTTAAATTAACCAGATATTCACTGATTGCAGTATTGTGTATATTGTGTTTTTAGTCTTGATCTCACACTATTGCCTGTCTGCGTAATTCACTCATAAGTGGTATATGAAGACGACAGAGAGCGAGGTACTTGAAAAAGAAATTAAGTTAGAGGTGGTCTTACTGACCTGAAAGCGTGACCGCAGTGCCCAAGGGACAACTGCTTGAGGTGAGTCACACACAACCTTTTCGTGTTAGTTCCATACTTGTTGGGACCTTACCGCTGGAAACGGAAATTCGTGGGATAAGGTGAGGTGTTCATTTTTAGGGTCGACCATTTCTAACCCCACCCTTCCTTGGAAAAGGCAGCATCTCCGTTTTGCTCGTTGTTTGAAGGAAACACCTTACTGCCGTCATATCTCTGTACAGTCAGCAATACGACTTCGCCCTTGAACTCAGGGTTTGATGCATTTAGTTTCACCGTTCTTCAACCAACCTGTCTGGCATGGTAGGACATTGAGGAACAATTGTTCCAGCCAATATAGCTCGATTGGTTCATCATGATAGACAAGCCCGACTACCACATCAAGGTAGCAGCAACGGTCGGCGAAAGCCACCAGTGTAGCATATGGTTCAAATCGTCTGAGTTTTAGTTAACTCCGCATATTTATACGACGACATGTGGTCATGTGTTCAAATTTTAAAGTCTGAAAGTATGCATGCGTAAAAATTATTTTACCATCACATAACAAATGTGGATTATAGCGTAGTCGTTAGGTGTGTATGTACTCGCAGCTTTTCATCCTTATTAGTTTCATGTGAAAGTTGATTTCCATTATGCTTTCCATTTTATGTAGTGTGTATGTTTATATGTAAAAAACTATATTTGAAATAATCTCAGCTATTGAAATTTAAATTATTCCAATGTTTCGTTCGGCAAACGTGTCTGAACGAAACGTTTGTTTTATTTAAATTCCAATCGCTGAGATTATTTCAAATATATTTTTTCACATATAATAGCGTCCCTGTATTCGACGCCCAACTTTCATAAAACCATTCGTTCTAATATTGACAAATATTCGTATAAAGTGAATATGTTTATTTCGGTATTCGTTTCGCTCGATTCATCAACACTATTCACTCTCGGTGTAATGATTAACTGTTAATGTTACAAATTAGATGCAAGATTCCTTACTGATAACTCTTGTTTACAGAATAATCTATCTAACTCTCATCGCTTCATTCATTTTCAGTCTCATATTGGTGGTCTGGTTGCTGCAGGTCTTCACCCTTCTCCTTTCAAGTATGCTGATGTAGTGATGACCACTACTCATAAAACAATTCGTGGACCGCGAGCTGCGATGATATTCTATAGAAAAATGGCCAGATCAAAAGAAAATGGTGTTGAAGTAAGTGTTTTAAAGTTCAATTCTACGTAAGTTATTATCCTAATAATGCTAATTAAGGAGTACGGAAAAAAACATTTACATTGTACATTGTTTAGACCTTTTGAGTACTTTTGTAAAGTTTATGAATTAGTAATGTATAACTTTTTCTATTAGCTCAGACCAGTCTGTCGATCAAATTGTTACAAACTGAATGACTCAATATTACACAAATATGATAATCATCCGCTCTCTATCCTTCTATCCCTTTTTACCTTTTTTGTATATGCTTTGTGTTACGTCTTTAATTTGTCTGCTCATCAGTCTGTGATTAGCATGCAGAGAGAAAATTATTTCGATCTAGTTTATAGCCTTGAGAGGACAGGTGACTTGGTACAACCTTGAGACTTACAACGCGTGAGTTCGATTATGACTGAACAGCCTTAAGGGCAGAAAGAAGAAGACTATCCTGCCATTAACCTACGATCTGTAACCTGGTAGGCTGACAAGCGGAGAGGGAATAGACGTTTTAGCTGGAATTATTCTCTGATATACTCGAACTAACTTAAAAAGGTGTATGATTAAATATATGACTAACAAGACTTCGACACACAAGGAAGGAGGAAAATACAGTTATGTCTAAACTAGGACATTAGATTAGAAAAAAAAGGACTACAAGGGTCACGTTTCTGGCCATATCCAACTTCCTGCACATACAATCCTATCCACTCTGGTAAATCACGTTAGAAAATTTCTTAAAGTTCACAGAAAGACTGAGCAACGTGATAGTCAAAGCGTGTTAACCACTTTAAAACAGCACCGCCATGTAGTAATTCCTGGGATTTGTTTTAACTTATTCGAGTCATTGGTATCAGTGAAACGATCTATAAAGTCGATGACATACCAATTGGTAACCTCTAAAAGCGTATTAAACTCTGGAAAGAACACTTCGTTAAACTGCCCAACTGATCTTTTACTCCAGCAACGTCAATCAGATTGTTCTGTCTTCTTTTGCCCGTGAATACTGATTGGCCTGATTAAGTAGTGGTCCGTAAGGTTTCCTTTTAAGAAGTAAGATAAATTTTTGTCCGGAAACTGCCTAGTTTGTTTTGAAAGGTTTGCGGACTGGAGTGTATTCCATCATCGTGGAATATAGCGATCTTCGTTCTTATCTTTAAGAAGGGCTTTTGTAAATTACTCAACAATTATTGGAATATAATTTCCATCTCTGGCTTCTGAGTTATGAGGATCAGATTTAGCAAAACCCTTGAAGAACTGACTCATGAGTAGCTGGCTGGTTTTCGTTCAGACTATATCCTGAATCTACTGAATGCTGGAACACCGCTACATCTGCTAAAGTGCAACAATCATTGTATTCCTTAATGTCGGGACCACCTTCGATTCTTAGGACAGACTGACTTCTGGGATTGTTTATTGAAGAACGGTGTGGTTGACGAATTCATTGACATCTTGAAAGCTATATATGTAAAAACATCAAACACTATGCATACATCCGTTCGTCTTCTTTGCCACAGTCTAACAGTAGAGCTAAGGGGGTTGTCGGGTTTCGCCATTCTTCTCTAACTTTGCCGTCGTTAATATTCTGGAAAGAGCTCTAAAGAAAGTAGGTGGTAGTGTGGATCTGTTGCACAAAGAAAGACTTTTCGACAGGAATTACATGTATAAAATTATCTTACTGTGCGACAATACATAGTTGTTTCAAACCACAATTAGTAAGTCAGCAGTTAGGGTCTGTTGGCATATCACGTATTTTCCACCATCTGAATGCGAAATACCTTTGTAAGATTGACTTTAGCATGTACCCACCCACGTTCTGTGGTAAACCATCGAGAAGTTCTTTTATCTGGGTAGTTTATGAGTAATAGTGTCTGAGTGACAAATGAGATTGATCTACATATAGTGAAAACCAAAGCTGTCCTATGCCAATCTTGGCCCATCATAGTGCTGGCCTAGCCATAAAAAATCGGGTTTGTAGCGCGTCGATAACAGCAATTTCACCCCACACTTGGTAAACCTGACTTCCGAGTTAAGAATGTTTTCCAACGGTGTGTTCTATCATCATTGTCTTTGAAGAATTGCAGCACCATATTTGTATTAACAACTTATTGTCGGGCACAACGACGGCGATTCAATTGGTCCTCACTATCTTAAAGCATCAGTCTCGGTGGCTCGTGCATGTCGTTCCAGTGACCCATATTGTATATTGACTGGCATCTACCTGTCCACACCGGTGAAGGTTTTGGAAATGGTCAAGTCACTGACTTGAAACACTATCAGGTATGGCTTAAAATAAAAGTAATTATTATCCTGCCGTAATTTTCTATCACTTAATGGTGAGACAATCTTCCCTGACTAAAAGAAGTTTTTAGTGGATACATTTTCGATTAAACTGTCTCTGTAATATGATTTCTGTTCATTTATTTATTGATTCGGTACTTTAATATATTGAATTTTCTGTTTTACTTAGACACCTAGTCTTTCGGAAAAGTACTGAATCCGGGATATGTTGAATTCATGATGGGGGGGGGCTATTTTTAAAATTAAGCAGTTATTGCCATCATCAAATGAATATTCTGATCATTTTAAAGATCCCTATACAGTTTGTATTCACCTTTTTTTTTTTAAATTTTCCCTAATTTTATTTTGTGGTAAAATCTCCAAACTTGTTTTGTCACTTCTTTACCCATTTAGAATGGATGTCACACTGATCCTACTTCAACAGACTTTGAACGTCGTATTAATGAAGCAGTCTTTCCAGGTTTACAGGGTGGTCCTCACAATAACACTATTGCAGCTATAGCTGTTTGTTTAAAAGAAGCTGCATCATCTGAATACAAAGTTTACCAAGAGCAAGTGCTCAAAAATATGAAACAACTTTGCAAATCATTAAAAGCTTATGGTTATGAGGTAAATAATGATAATGGTAATAATAATAATAATAATAATAATAATAATAATAATAAGCTCTTAATGATCGTCTCCATTTTGTATAAAGTACTGCTGATGAAATTTAGTAACTTAGACAAGATTATAAATGAATAATATATTCGTAATATGAGTAGCAAAATTAGATTTTCTAACGTTTCGTGACTTAGTGTAAACCACTTCTTCAGAGAATGAATCAAGTTTAAACTTGAATTGATTTTGATTCGATTATTTATTTATTCTCTGAAGGGGGCTGGCTTACACTAAGTGACGAAACGTCAAAATTTAATTTTTCTACTCATTGGGATATTACAAATATATTATTTATTTATAACAATCTACCCGATGCTCAATCAAACCTTAGTAATGATACCTATTAGATAAGATTGTTTACCATGTCTATATTTTTATTTCTTTGCCGTAAATTTCTTTATAGCTTGTGACTGGAGGTAGTGATACACACTTATGCTTGATGGATCTTCGCCCATTAAAAATAGATGGTGCTCGAGCTGAGAAAGTTTTAGAATTAGTTCGTATCTATGCAAACAAGAACACTTGTCCTGGTGATGTTAGTGCTTTGAGGTAAATATTCGCCGTCTTATAAAATGAAAACTACTGTTTTTTATGTGTATTTATTCCTATACATCTGTTTGAAGTAAAGCAATTGTTTGGTAGGTAAAAACATTCAACTCCCAATTAATAGATCTCAGGTTTGAACCTTGAACCACTAATTTAATTCTTAGTAACCGGCTGGTATCATTGATCGGCACACTCGTTCAAAGTTGAGTGCATTAACCTGCGCTCATCATACAAGTTATATCAAATTTTACTTAATATCTGTTCCCATGTGCCTATTTAAACCAAAATGAGATAGTACTTTTCAACTTGAAATTTACTAGAAACAGTATACGAGATCATTAGTTTACCATACCATAGTAGATCTAATTCAACCTATTAAACTGAATAGCATTTTCGTACTAATACAAAAGATGTGATGTGGATTTATCTGGACAGTTGATGGTTACATTTATTCATAAATGGAACTTATTCACTTGCAGTTGTAATTTGTTAGATGTGGCATGATAAGAATTATATTAAATCTTAATATATGGAACAAAGTCAACAGTTGTTGTAACATTAATATTATAAACACTAAAGGCAACTACTTTGTGAATAATTAATGATCCGTTTCAGTTAAATGAGTGTAGTGTGAGTTTCATTCATTTCATTTTTCTGAAGGTCTCTTCAGATTCGCATTGGGAACACCTAAATTAAACTAAATTTTCAGGAATTAAAACGGTTTCTTAATATTTTTTAAGTTATAGGATGATATTTGCTTACTAGATTTTGGATAGAGTAATGGTTTGTAATTCCACTTTTCTTCCTACTTAATTTAGACCTGGTGGCTTACGCTTTGGAAGTGCTGCGTTAACATCACGAAATTTCCATGAAGAAGATTTCGCTAAAGTTTCAGAATTCATACATGTTGGAATTCAAATAGCTGTTAAAGCTAATGAACTTGCTAACAGCAAACTATTAAAGGATTACGAAGTACGGTTTTTCCAGTTTATTATTATTATTAATTCGTTCAACACAAAAATATTGATACTAAAGGGCACCAAAATATATATGGACCACACAATAAGAAATGGAATTGTAAAGTGATAGAGAAAGGAATGTATGAATCAAAATGAGTAAATAGTTAAAATTAATGGATAAACAGTTCATCTAAGAAAGTCACAACGTAGAACCTGGTACGTATGTACATCGGTTCAGGTTCCCACACCTTATTATCTAGCAGAGATGAAATTGTCAGGCAGAATCCCAAAATAGTAGAGGTAGTAGTCAACGAGAACACATGTGGGAACAGTCGAATGTATTTGACCACAAAATTACAGAATCTTAGTAAAATGCAGATTGGACCAAAGCCGGCCTAGATTGGAATAGGCCCCCATCTTTCACTGTACATAAACTGACTTCATCAGTCATGCCACCACAAGCTCTTATGTAGCTACTTAAGTACACGAACTTCTTAACTTCTTACTGCTCATTAGCAAGAGTGAGATCAGATAGAAGCCCCTTTCGGTCTTATAAAAGTGTTTTGCACTTAGAAGGTGCAAAACATTCTATTCCTACGGATGCAGATTAAGTGGATATTGTGTGGGTTTAAGTCTCATCGCACGTTAAGGCAATATCATCCTCACATCCAAGATCGAGTCTTTCTACAAGTAACCAAAGGTATCCACATTACCATCACCTACTTTAACCAGAGTTGTTTCCAGAATTTCATCATTGCCAAAATTGTCGAGGAATGTCGTGGTTGAGCGAATCTCCCTGACTCCATTGCGCGTGTGGGACAAAAGAGACAGGGGGTCTTTGTGTCGAAGACATCAATTTTCTTGAACATACTCTTCTTCAACAGACAGTTCCAGAGAACAATCTTGTCCAACGGACCAATCGTGAATTTGATGTCGAGAAACACAGCGAAAGTTCTGTAATCAGTATGGCGCTGTTCTAACATTTGGGAAAGGACAAAGATTTTAATCAATACGTCGACCATAATTAAAACCGACGTGCTCCTCGTGAATCAATCATTCATGGGTTTTGAGCTATCTATGAAGTATGCCGGAAGTCAACAGTTTGGACATAGTTATAAGTAGAGTTTTCCCCCGATAGTTGTTGTATAGTTGACACAAAACGTTATTGACGATGGGAACGACTATCGCCTCATTCCAGGATGTTAGAACACCGATTGTCAAACGTTTCCAAATAACTTAGTTCCTTAACTAAAAGTTATCCACTACCCTTAAATAGATCTGAGGCGTCATCGTCTCTTGGTTGATTTATAACTCTTCAAGAGTTGAAGTTCTTTGCGGACTTAATCTCGTTAGGTTAACGAAAATTTATCTTTTCTCATACCGATTTCTTCTCACTTTAATGGAACTTTCTAATATAACAGCGCATAATCAACTGTTAATGGGGATCCAATCGATCAGTGCTGTCTCAGCACTAGTGCTTAGTGTGACGCCATCATTAGAAAAACTGGATGGAGATGTCACATGGTCTCGAGTAAACGTATGTGAAACAAGCTTTTAGACTAGACAAATGGAAAGTGTATGTGTAGTGCTTCATTAGAGTCTTGATCATGGGTTTCGGATGGATAACAGAGGTTGATATTAAGATTTTTCAAAGACGTAGAGCCGACTCTGTTGTCCAATCTACATTAGTGTGTAGAAGTTAAAGGAGACCAGTTTGAATAACACATTTGGTTTAAGAAAGGCTTGTTCAGAATTCATATACGATGGTAGCGTTCAACTTTCGACTAGTCAGTAACTTGAGATGGTTTAGATACAATAAAATTCCCAGCATAGGCGAGCTGTTGTATGAGTTGAGAAATAAAAGAATATACGAAATGAGAATAAAAGGGAGTAGACAAGTGATGCCATGTAAAATAAAAACGAATGTGACCAAATAGTTGTGAATGTAATTTGTCAGAATGTGGATTGAAGTGAGAATGATATTTTCCAGTTGTGATCATCATGTGATTTATATGTATGCTAAGATACTGCCCAGGTGGTTTTCGTAGGATCCACAAGACAGTGAAGCGACGTTAAGTGATGCAGTCGTATGGTAACCGGTGATCAACAATGGGTTCATCCGCCATTTGTTCCCACAGCAACCCGGAGCTCATGTGCATCATTGGTACTAGGTTGGAATCAGGGTTTTCCAACTTCCCTAAGTGGACTCTGCGTGTACCAGTTCTCAGTTGTGCTGTGAAACTAATGCGTTAATTTTATCTCTTTTTTCTGAGTATATACAGTGAATAGAGTTCTTTTTAAAAATGTTTCTTAAGATACTAAATGATTATTCAAAACCAAGGGATATTCCACCTAACAGTTGTTCACAATAACTTCATCGTCAGGCTGTACAGTTGTATATTTATACCTCGTCTGTTTTCATGTGATCACTACCTAGCAAATGAGAATCGCCCTAGAAATAGAATTTCTGACGCTAATGCAAAGCGAACTATTTTAACATGCAGCATTCCCTAATTCACATATTTATGTATACCTTATTTTGATCATTATAATAAAGGTTATGAATTTTTAACAAGGAGTAGGTTAACAAGGCTACTGAAAACAACCGTTCGCTTAGATATTTATTGTTTTTGCTTCGTGCTTATGAATCAAAAAACTTGGTTTGATCAAATATTTCCCTAGAATTTGGTTTATAAAAAGTAATAGTTTAGTTTACTTATGACTGTGACGTCATGAAAATGCACTGTAAATATTTTTATGTAGTTTTTTTTACAATCACTGAGTAAGAGTGCGTATTTTATTAAATGGGTCAACTACCAAACTATGTCATGATTGATCATAGAATTATCCACACTTAAGTGAGTGCTAACCCATGCTGTTTAAACAATATTTGGTTAATGCACCAGTGTAAAATAAACTGTCTGCATTTGGTTTGGCATAAATTATGGATTAACAATGGTCAAGCAAACTATTTTGATTCTCCATTATGCCTAGTTTTCATGAAATCTCCATCTAAGGCCACAAAGTTCTGTGATGCGCACGTAGTAGAGAGCGGCATCTAGTTGAATAAGTTACTTTTTCTTGGCTGTAACCTGTTGCAGCGTAGATAAATTAAAATAAAATCCATTATCTGATCATCAAATTCTCACGTTTATAACGTTACTCAGATATGTGTATATACTATAGCTAGTTTCATTTCTTTCTCACTAGGTTGTTGTTGAAACAAATGTTGAAGTACGTTCAATGATTGAAAAGTTGAGACTTGAAATTGAGGAATTTGCTTCAAAATACCCTCTACCTGGACTAGATTTTTAAAAATTATAAAATGTACTAGGTTTTGATATTTTTTAATAACTAAATTTTATGATGTATAAAGTTGTTTTGTCGTCCTAATTTTGGTGAGACAATCACAAGATTTTTTTATAATATTAGCTCAGCGCATCCATAAGGTTTTCTTCAATCTTCCACGCACTTAGTTGTATCTGATATTTTCAGGGTTTTGTATGATTTTAATGCAGCGTGTGTGTTGTAGCTACAAATCTGTCATTTCAGTATTTAGATACACTTATAATAATTAGGTTGATATGATAAGACTGTTGGGCTACACTTATTCTGAGTAACCGGTAGATAAGTCCAATATTCATCATACAATTTGAATTTTCTAGTTAGTATACGAAACTGGAAACCATACTTTTCATAGTTAGGCGCGGTCTACACTGTTTAGTTAGTAGATTCCATGAATACAAATAGTAAGTTGGGATCATTTACAATCCAGGAGAAGTGGATTTATCATGTGATAATTCCTATTCTTAATATCCTAACTTTATCAAGCGTTCCAACATCTCTGTATAGATTGTAATCGACTTACGTAATTTTTACATTTAGGGTTTTGGTTGTAAATACATAAAACTGATCCAAAATCAACCATATTTCGCTAGGGAGTTAAGGATACACCTTTAATTTGAATTACTGTCTCTACCATTATCACTCCGAATCAATAGATTTCGTGATAGATATGTAAAAACTCAGACCATAAACTACGTGTCGAGTTTTAATCAAAATTCTAGTCCCACTGACTGAAGTCCAGAAGAGTTTTATGGTAAGGTTTCTGATTCATCAGATGAGGTTCTTGAGTAGTAGGTTTAATGAAGCTCTCTGTAATCCGGTTTACTGAATAGATAATGCTCAGACAACTGGTCTTTGACCGACTTGCCACCCTACGACAATGACGTTCACAAACAATATTCCTGTTACCTATATCGTTCGATAGGGTCGACCAGAGACTACTGGGACACATGCTAAAAATTCCACCATATTCTGGTGAAATCAGGTGGAAAATATTGAAACTAGAGTACACATTCCAGATTATTTCAAATGTGATTGGGTTAAATAAAAACGACGCTAGCGAGGTTGTAGATCCTACTCTGCCGAAGTAGTGTATCGTATCACTAATCGTAGTGTGCTTCAATTACCTAAGCACGTTTCACTAGTTGCAATTTTTGTAAGAATAGGACTCAGTCCCGTCAGTCAATTATTATCCTGGGTATTGCTTATATCCAAGTCAGTTACTGATCCGGTTTTATCCGAATCAAAGTGACAAGTCGGTGTATTTTATACAAAGATAAGCTCTCTTTAGTAAACAAATATATGTTTTTCTGCAGCGTGCTTGCTTAACCTCCACTTGGTTACTGACCGTATTTTCACTGTTGATAAGCTTCGAGTTAACAGTTGTGCGAATGTCATATTCAGTAGTACATCGAAAGTTTTGTTTATGAAAGAAAACCACTAAACTTTTAGTATACAATTGTGACAATTTTCAGTATTATAACCAGATATTTTGTGTCGGGATCTCAACGTATACAGAAATTTACGTCGGGACGATTACAAGGCATTTATTTTCACAAGTAAATGAATATCACTTTACACTAATGAAATTGTTCAACAATATACAAAGGAACAAGTTTAACTAAAGACAGTCAACTTTTAAGAAAATACATCACATACAATAAAGGTAAAAAGGCTAGTCGACATATTTGAACTAGAACGGGTTAGCATCAAGTTAACCACATTCTCTAAGCAGAGATTGATGTGGAAACTGTCATAAAGCCAGAGGAAGCTCAAATATGGTACGACCTTGCGCTTTTATCAGTAAAGAAAATTAAAGCCAGTAGTATGCATTAGATACTACATAGGTGGTCCGACGGATTGTATTGTCTTTGTCGAATCTCGAAGTTTTGCGTGACTGTCAATTATGTGAAGAAGTTCTTCTGGTTGAGGGATACGGTTTGTGTACAATTTCGACCAGATTGGGATATCTGAAAATCAAATCAACATAACTGGACTTTCAGTAGGAAAAACGGAATTTGATTATATATTTAGCTAGAATGCTTTTAGTCCCTTTAAATACGTGCAAAAAGAATCATCGTCAATGAATGTCACCTCTGAATGCTGAAAATTAGCATTACAATGCCTTAACCAGTTGAAAGATTTCTTAATAACTATTCATCTCGTATGAAAAATGTGAAATTGAATAGAATTTAAGTATTTGACTAGTGATACGAGGTTTTCCGAGTTATTATTTTCAAAACGCCAGTGAAATTTCTTAAACATCTTGTTTCCGGGATGTGGTAACCAGAAAACAATCAACCAAAGAAGGAAAATATCATAACTTAAATTCTCAGTATAATTTTTGAAATGTTACGAGAAAAGTTAAAAGATATGTAACACTGAGTGAATATACAAATATACGAGGATAATTATCAGAAGTTGACACTGAAGTTTATGATTGGATTTGGATAGAACAAGATTCTTTTAATCAAGTTATCGGTGCTTTATAATCCTGGTTTAGAATACAACACGTTCTAGCTGGCAATTTATAAGATTAGGTCGCATTGCGGGATAACATTTTGATTAGTTATATTCAATGACGTTATAGTGAACATTAGGATGTAGGAGACATTAAAGAGGAGGAATGTATTTGTATAATCTTAGAGAATGAATTTGAAGCAAATCCAACGATTTTGCAAATACATTGTTCATTTTAAATGTCTCACATCAACTCGGCGCCCAAATACTGCCCCCAAATGCCCTGGTACGGCCGAGAGTGGGGAGAGTCCGCTCTCCCTCTCGAAATGCTCTCACACGGCCACGCGTATATAGCCTCTGCCAGGGAAGTCCTACTCGCTGCCTTCTCGTGGCGGCGGTGTTCTTCACGAAAATGAGAGGACGAAAAGCGAATGTCCGGTGCTTTAACCGGATTCAAAACCAATGGTGCACATGGGCTCCAGTATCCCGAGGGAACAAATGGAGTATGAACCAATTGTTGGTCACCGGCTTCCATGGGACTGCATCTCCTTACGATGCTCCACTGCCTTGTGGATCACACCTTCAGGTTGAAGGCTCGGGGAGTGTCCCCCTAGGAAAACCACCTGCTTCGGTTTGGGCACCCGGGCAGTATCACAACCCCCAGACATATCAACAGGAAACAGGGTTTCCTGTTGACTAAAATCTCAATACATAGTGCCCGCAGTATCGAGTCACCTAGACTGGTGGCCACATTGCAACGATCGATAGCATTCGATCTGCACTAATAAGGACTAGACAAGCATGACATTGATCACACCCCAGTGATCAATCAATTGTGATCAGTGGACTCTACTATTGCACTCACAGATTCTCGTAAACTCATCCCATCAGGCTCTGAACACGATGAAGAGCGAAAACAAATCAGATCTAGGTTAAGAAAAAGTCTAAGGAACGACCGTGAGCAGTGGTGGGCAACGAAAGCAAGAGATGGAAAAGGCGGCAGCTGTAGGTAATACAAGACAGCTCTACAGATTAATAAAAGAAACCGGAATTAATAAGTCAAGTGTAAGTGAAACTACCTCGGAAAAAGACGACGTTTAGAACGATGGGCGGAATATTTTAAGCAGTTTAGCTGGCCTTCAGCTACTCTACAACTACCCACCATTTCCAGACAGCGTGAATAGAAGATTGAAGTAGGTCCCCCGACTCTAGATGAAGTTCAAAAGGCTATATTTGATCTGAAACGAGGAAGAGTAACTGGTCCAGATAGACTGACTCCAGATGTATTTAAGGATGGTGGTCAAACTTTAGCGATTGGGTTGACTAATATTATACCTAAAATCTGGGAGTTAGACGTAATCCCATCTGATTGATCACAATCACTTATCGTCCCAATATATAAGAAAGGGTCAAAATCATCCTGTGACAAACATAGAGGGATTAGTTTGACTAATATAGCATCTAAAATACTAGCCTCGATAATTATCGGATGCCTAACTAAGACTCGTGAACTGCAAACACGAGGGAATCAAGCTGGCTTCAGTCCTGGTTGTGGCTACATCGATAACATATTTACCATTCATCTGGTTCTAGAACACAGAGATACTTATCGGCATTCAAGAATGGAGGTCTTTCTTGACTTAAAAGCAGCACTTGACTCCGTAGACCGCGAGATTCTGTGGCATTGTCTGTCATTGGAAGGCGTACCTCAGAAGTACAAAAACCCTGTAAAAGCTCTTTACTCGAACACTACTAGTCGAGTCAGAGCTTATGGTGAACTGTCGTCTGATTTTGCAACCTCAAATGGTGTCCGTCAAGGCTGTCCACTTTCTCCATTTTTGTTTAACTTCATCACAGATCTACTGATGGAAATAACTTTCTCGTCGACTGAGTTCTCGGGTATTGATCTCCTACCAGGAGGTCCACTTATCGACTTAGAATACGCATATGACATAGTCCTGTTTGGTGAAGACGCTGACAACTTCACTTACCTTGAAATTCTGATCAGCCCTAGTGGTTTGGTGTCTGACAAAATCTCTGTACAGATTCAGAAAGCTCGTTTGGCTTTTGCCAATTTACGTCACCTATGGCGAAGGCGAGATATCCGTCTATCAAAAAAGGACGGCTATACTGCGCGGCAGTTCTTACTGTTCTACTTTACGGCTGCGAAACATGGCCATTTAGAGTAGAAGATATTCGTAAGTTATAAGTATTTGACTACAAACATCCTAGAACTATTGCTCACTCTACTGGGATCACCTGGTAAGTAATAGTGAGGTTAGACGCAGGGCATTATGTAATGATGGTAAATCAGTTGATGAGGTTGTGAATCTTTATCGACTGAGATGGCTGTGCCACGTGTTACGTATGCCTGAACACCGATTACCACGATGCGCAATGCAAACCGGTGTTGGGGATGGTTGGAAGAAAGTTAGGGGCGGTCAAACTAAAACGTGGCATCGGTTCTTTAAGTCACTAACTTTTATTCTGAGCCATGTTGGAAGATGCAGACTACTTGGTTGGGGTCCGCGTGACTATCGTAACCAATGGTTGGAGACTCTGGGTG